ATCTAAAACTCTAACCTATGATCACTTATATATGTTACTGCTTAGTCTTATCCAAGTATGAGGATTACAACATCTGAGTTTGCTTTTGAATCACTCATAATTAGTACTTCAAGAACACCATTAAATTATACAGACAACTACAGACATTAAATTTATTTCAACTAGACATTACCTTATTGTAAAAATATTGTAAAAGTAGTTACATTTAAATTTGATAATAAAGAAAAAATCATATTTTGGACTATATTGAGAATGGCTTAATGCATTATAATTACCGCCAACATTTGTAAAGGAGTGAACAATTAATAATGATACTAGACAAGCAAAGCTCCTTTTACTCTTAAGGGGTCTTCCTAAATATTAAAATTGAAAACAAACACTACATTTCACCACAGGTATATTTGGCTACCTTCTTAAGTTACTTCATGAAATAGGAAATGCAAAGACTAAATAAGTAGCTGTGGCAGATAGCTTAATGTTTTAAGAGCATGGGCTCTGGAGTCAGACAGCCTGGCAAGTGTTGTCATTTTACCAATTGTGTGACCTCAGGCAAATTACTTCATGCTCCCTGTGCCTCAGTTTCATCTGCAAAATGGGGATAATAATGGCAACCGTCTTGTGGGGATTTGGGAGAACTGTATGAGAAAATGCATGTAAAATACTCATGAGAGTAGGGGATACTTACTAAATAAATAAATAAATGCTTGATAGCATAAATACTTGATAAATATTACCTACTACTACTACCACTATCATTATTAGCCCCAAATTTACTAACTGATCATGCCTTTCATTCTATATTTTTATAAAATGTAAGGGGAAAATGCTATTCTATGGGATTTTAAATTCTTATTTCAAGTATTTATTGCACATCAATAATATAACAGGTAGGACGTTAGACATAGGGCCTTGTAAACACCATGGGCTTTTTGTTACTGAGCAAGTTATATAGGAATGTAAAGGTATATATTGCCCTGAATTCTGGTAAAACATGTCACAATGTGAAAAATAAACCTATCAACAATGACGATGCAGCTGATCATTAATAAATATGAGTTCTATAAATAAAATCATGTTTAGTGTCAATGGTAGACTGCTTTTCAGTTTAACTAAAATTCTCCCAGAGTTTTAATTAACTACTTAGGAAGCACAAAAGATTGGAAAAGAGCACGGTTCTGATTTCTGGGTTTCACAAGCGCTGTTCAACTTGGCACACAACAAATGCTCAATGAAGATTTGTTTTACCTAAAATACTATGACTGAAAAGCACTCCAGAGTTAATACTGATTCACAGGAGATACTGCCACCTAGTGAAAAATTAGGCTCATTACCTGGGATTACCGTATAATGCTGAGAACTTCCCAAATTAAAACTTGATCCTGCTTAAAATACTACATGTATATTCAATATGTGCCAGTATTCAGACTAGGTACCAGTAATAAAAAGACAAATAAGCCTCCAACTCTGCTTCCCACAAAGTACAGACAATATAAAGAAACTGCATACTCCACAGAGAGGCATAGAATAAATGGTTTTGTAGAAAAAAAAAAGTTTGCATATTAGACAATCAAAAGCTAATATTTCAGGAAATCTGCTAAAAAGGCAGTTTAGTGTAGCAAATGAGAGCATGGACTCCAAGTCCCGCCTGTATGGATCCAAGTCCTGGCTCCCATTATGGGAATAATTATAATACCTATCTCATAAGATTATTGTGAAAACTTTAAAAAATATGGGTAAAGTGCTTAAAATAGTACCAGGAACATGGAAAATGCTTTGTAAGTATTAGACATAATTATCATTACATGTAGAACAGGATCCTAGAGATTGAGGTAGACAAGTACTGATTAATAACAGAACATTAATTGCTGAAGTCTAGCTTCATACATTTAATTCATTAGAAGCCGTTTCTCTGACTAGTACTCTGTTATTATGGGAATCCTAAAAGTACATTATTTGTGGTACACTGTGACTAAATTTTGTATTACTAGATGATTAACCCTTTCAACATCAGGCAAATAAAACTGGCTTCTGAAAGTAAAAATCATATTTCTTACCAAAAAAAGCAAAAAGTCAGTAGAATGAAAGACCCAAAAGACCACAACCTGAACACATGCTTAACAGGGAAAGATGCTTGCTGACTCTTCACAGATTTTGTTAGAACTGAAAGATGGATGATACATTTAGCTACCACTGTGGTCTTATTCACAGCTTATTTAACTGATAAAAAAAAAATGAGCTTACTCCATTTTCCTTAAAAATTGCCTAAATGTATCAGCTGCTCTGATAAATACTATCTAAAAAATCATGTAACTGTTTTGTATCTTTCAAATTTTTTACCATTAAAACATTTATGTAAAACTACTTGTAACTTCATTTTCAGACAAGAAAGTGTGAGCAAAATAGTCCTGTGTTAAAAGATAAATAAAATATAAGGCAAAGGTATAATAGGTCAGTAATAAATGTTATAATTTTCATTGCAAAAATTTAAAGACTTCATGATTCTGGCCTGTATTTAATGAGCAAAATATTTTAGAGTCTGAAACAACTTTTCATTTTTTCATGGTTATATACCATTCACAAGAACTGTGCTAAATCTTGGATTGCTTGAGATCACGTAACTTTTTCCTAAACTGCTTCTTTTTAAAAATAGGCAGCAAAGAGTTGGGAAAATGTGTTGAAACATTTTGAGTTTTGTTTGTAAAGGTGTGTTAGTATATCAAAAATTGTGTTCTAAATACACTGCACAAAATATTTTTATTTAATATGTGTATTAACTGAACGTTTAAATTTCTAAAACACTCATGGAAATCCCTCATTTACATTAAGATACTGTGGACATAACATAATGTTCTTAACTTTATGCATTTATTTTCTAATACAACTGACCTAGAAAGGTACATACTCTAATAAAAAAAAAGGAAAAGGCTGACCAACAGAAAGAGTGAAAGAAAGGGAAAAAACCCTTTTTCTCCATTTCATTCCACACAGAGAGGCTTATCAGCATATTAAAACATAAGTTCCCACAGAGTCAAGTGTATACAGGTTGGATGAGCACAGTAACAACCCACTTTATCTGTTTTGTTTGTTTTAGTATACTGCTTATCAACTTACAAAGTACTTTCACAGTCCCTGTCTCATAGCACCCTCGCAAAAAAATCTCTTAGGTAGGACAGATATTAGTAGTTGTGGGACCATTTACTAGATAGGGAAATGGAGCTTCAGGAAGGCAAGAGGCTTGTGCAAGGCCACTAAAGAAACAGAACTGAGCCTAAAACTAAATGTTTTTGAACTCCTAAACACTTGGCTCTTTCTACTTATGCTCCTAGAATGGACTTCTTAGTCTAAATGTCTATTGTCACAAAACCAATGTACAAACCTAACTGGGCTAATCTACTGATGAACTTCTATCAAAGACAAAAAATAAACTAAAGAAAAAAGATGAGACTGGAGCTTTCAACTGCATTTTGTAGTGAAAATTTCAAAAGCCTAACAATCAAAGCAGAAATTCAATGAAAACTGTGGTGAAACTTCTGAAGAGTTTGAGGAAATTAATTGAGTGCCTATTTCCTATATAACAGTTCCCATTACAAAGTAAATAGGTATAACTCTTCTTTCTGTGAAGATTTAAAGGGTATAAAAGAGAGACCTGTTTCAGGACACATGTTTGAACTAGACGACAAACTTGGACACTGGATGATTTGAGAAATCCACTTGTCTTTTCCCAAAGTCAGGCAGTGTTTACTTTTGCTAAATTTGTTTGTAATAGTAAGTGGTATTGTGTTGTTTAACAAGTCCACCATCAGCAATACCGTTCTGTAAATCTGAATATGTGTCAGAGAAATTTATTATTTCTTCTTTGTAAAATTCTTTAAAACAGGATAAATCTCAATTTTACACATTATTTTCTAATATAATTCACCTGTAAAGCATAATAAAACCCATACTATGATCAAGAACTTCAGGTTTAGAGCTTAACCCAATTGTCTAACACGTAGCACTTATCACAAACATTAACCAATTCACACTGTATTAATGCAGTAAGCTTAACCACTTGCATTTCATTAACTTAAAACACTCTGTCTAGATAGTTCCACAGCAATGTTACCTTGTATACATATTTGCATATTTATGCATTTATGACGTTGTGTGGAAGCCATCTTAGCTTAGCAAAAACTGTGAATGATATCATAAACAAAGCAAAGAGAGTAATGAAAACCATTTATTTTTGTACAATAACTAATACATGAAGAAAATGGAACTGCAATTTTGAGAGTGTCAGCACTATCAATACCATGCAGAACAATGAAATCCTAATTTCAGGACAAAAATTAAAGAAATATAAGAAAAATAGCATAAATCCAGATAATTCTAATAATGCCATACTATTTCTGAAAAATGTGTCCAAAGTCTTTATTTCCTTATTATTTTCCAAAATTATAGAATAGTGTTAACTTTAGTGTAGAAAAAGATGTTAGATTTCTAATTCCATATCTCATTTTCATTGACGCTTGATTTTTTTGCCTTCTTTTATGTTAAGAAACTCTCAAAATTACAACTTACTTAAACTATGTGCTTTAGTAAAAAAGAAAAACAAATAGGAAATTAACTCAATATTCAAGTAAAAACATTACAGATCCATATTTCCTAAATGTTATTTATCTTTTAAATTTAGACATATTCCCAAATAATTTTTAGGTGAATTTTATTTATTTAAATTGATTTACAAAGGAAGTGATGACTACCTTTCTGTGATTACAACGTAAGAGTACAACCATTATGTGTACTTTTGATGATATTTAAACTCCATAATAATAGTGCTCATGGAAAAATAAAATGTTATAATAATAATATGATCTTTCTAAGTCGCTTGGCTTTCATAGTATATTCAAGAGAGCTTTGTTAATACAAAGGATGAGTTTTCACAGAGTTCATAATTTCCGGTTCAGTCTAAATGTAAAGGTTACTCTAAATATTCTCCTCTTATCAAGTGGTGGACTTACCATGGAAATCATAAATATATAGAAGAACTGGCTCATTCTGCCCAAACGCACAAAATGCAACCATATTTTCAAGTGGATGATAAGCAATATCTCGAATGGGTGACCTGAATGGCAGGTCAGAATACATTGCTACTTGTTCTCCTAAATAAGAAAAGACATTCAATAATTTGTACCATCTCAGATACTTCTCGTTAGAAGATTATTCTGTAGCTTATTAAAAAAGATTTATAGTAAGTAATGATAAAGCTCACGTTATTTATATAAACACCTTAAAAACTTATAAATATTTGAGTACCACTATATTAAATAATTATCTTTATTTTTCATTCTGTTGGCCCTCTTTTTTCTACTTCTCAGTCCAACCTCTTCACGGAGGTATTCAAGGCACGACATAAAGAGCTTGGAAGTAGAGAGACCTGACTCTGAGATCTGACAGAGCTGAGCAAATGCCAACTAACAAAGAACTCCAGGGAGAACTAGGGGAGGAATGTCAGGATTAAAACTAAAGAAACTCTGGTTGGGAGAGGTTTAGTGAGGAATTAATTTTTTCTATTTTTCTTCCAGAGGCTGTTTGACGTACCATCTGCTTTAAAGATGCATATGATTATTAATGACTAAAAGAGGCCTACAGGGCTTCCCTGGTGGCGCAGTAGTTGAGAGTCCGCCTGCCGATGCAGGGGACACGGGTTCGTGCCCCGGTCTGGGAGGATCCCACGTGCCGCGTGAGCCATGGCCGCTGGGCCTGCGTGTCCGGAGCCTGTGCTCCGCGATGGGAGAGGCCACAACGGTGAGAGGCCCGCGTACCAAAAAAAAAAAAAAAAAAAATACAAAAAGAGGCCTACAGCAGAAGTTTGAAATTCAGAACTCAAAAGCAAAGAATCCAGTTCCACGGATTGCTGGCGAAGAGAGATTTATGAACACTTATAAACTGATGCTGAAGTATCAAAATACAGTAAGAAAAAAAAAAAAAAAAACTATAAGTGAACTGACTAGTCAAAAATGCCTGAAGAGAAAGATGAAGAAAATAAAAAGCTGAAGTCAAATACTGCTCATTAAAGAAATTTTAAAGTAACTTTTATAAAATTCTTTCTACTGCTAAAAAAAAATGTTTATGTAGTTTTGGCTTTTCTTTTAAAAAGCAAGGTGAAGCACAAATGAACTGCCCAATATAATAGCTTATGTTATTGGGGAAAAAAATGAATTACAGGGCTTCCCTGGTGGCGCAGTGGTTGAGAGTCCGCCTGCCGATGCAGGGGACGCGGGTTTGTGCCCTGGTCTGGGAAGATTCCACATGCCGCGGAGCGGCTGGGCCCGTGAGCCATGGCCGCTGAGCCTGCGCGTCCGGAGCCTGTGCTCCGCAACGGGAGAGGCCAGGACAGTGAGAGGCCCACGTACCGCAAAGAAAAAAAACAAAAAAACAAAAACCCTGAATTACAGTAAAATTGCTATTAAGTTTCAGACATCCAAAACTGACAGGAGTGTGTTTGTTTCTAATAAAAATGTAGATGGTTAACCATTTGTATATCTAGCTGTACTCTAAATTCAGTTTATAATACTGTGTTTTGTATTACAGTCCTCATTAAACACTTCTCCAAGTTCAACAATATCTCATTACCAGCAAGGAAAGAATAAACCTTGAATTACAATGTGAAATTCTAAATCCATAAAGATAGCAAAACCATAAAGAACAGAATTTAATATAAATTTACACTGCAGCTGAATTCCATTATCAGCTTTCCAATTTTGAAAAACCTAACTGAGAACCTGAAACCAGAATTTCCTTGAAAATTACTCCATAAAATTGTAGTTTTTATACTTCATCAAAAACAAAACAAAAAAAAATGTTTTAGTTCAATGAAATATTATTTACCTGTTTCTGGGTTCCAAACATATACTATACCGTCCTCACTTCCAGCAAAGAGAAAAGTCCCACATGGTGTCAAAGTACTGTGAATCTTCTCTCGATAATTTGCTGCACCTACAAATTTCCTTGCTGCTAATCTAGAAACCAAAAAGATTTTACAAATGTAACCTGTCTTACCCATTTAAAAGACTGGTGGTAGGAAAACTTTTAAATACTTCATTTGCATTTAACAAACAACTTGTGAGAATCTGTTATGCAGGATACATTCTATGATGGATGCAGAATAAAGAAGAGATAGTCCCAGAGCTCAGGGAGCTTATAATTTACCAGGAGAGAGGAGAAATGCATTAAAGTAAAATAGAAAGTGGATGTAGAAAGTGCCACAAAAGAACAGAAGGAGTACTTTTCAGATTTGGACAGGAGAGATGATTTCTAGCTATGGAGCAAAAGACTACTTTGGAAGTAGCATTTGTATTGGTTACTAAAAAATGAACAGAATTTTTATATTCTTATATTTTCTCCATGTGATAAATGTTTAAAATCAATGAATACCTGATCGTTGCAGAAGTATTAGACAAAACATTATTGAATCATCTATTAAATATGGTATATAACCTTCCAGGCTTTTTAACTTATGAATAATAACAGCTAACACTGTTTTAGTGCTTATTATGTGCCAGGTAGGTACTATTATCATCCCTGGTTTACAGAGAAGATATTACATATACTGCTCTGTTATCTGCTTTTTTCAGTCAACAATGAATCATGAATCATGGCCACCATGTCAGAAAATAAAGATTACGCATTATCATTTTAATAGGCATATACTATACCATTGTCTAAATGTATCTTAAGAAATTTTCTATTGTTGGATAACACTTAGGATGGTTCCAGCTTTCCCCTACCATGAATATGATTTCTGTGAACAACCTTGTGTATATATATATTTTTGCACTGCCTCATAATTATTTTCTTAACATAAATAACTAAACCTAAGGTTACTGGGTCAAACACTTCTGCTATGTCTGTTAATGTTTTAAGTACTTTACATGTGTAAACTAGTTTATCCCTCACAAAACACTTATGAGGATGGTATATTATTTCTTCCATTTGAGTGATGAGGAAAGAGAGACACAGGGAGATTAATCAGCTAGTAAGGGGTGGAACAGGCAGTATTTGACTGTAAGCAGTTTTCTCCTAGAGCCCAAGCATGATCATAGGCTGAATACTATACTGCTTAAAAAGAGAACAACCAAACTCTGCAGGCCTGGTCTTCTGAAGTCTGACTCTAATTTCTATTGGATTCTCTCTCAGCATTCCTTAGCAAGAAACCCATGCTCATACAGACTAACTCACTCTGCCCTGAATACAGCTTCTATTATTCTACCTCCAAACTTTATTCCAGGCTTTTCATGTTTTCCACCCTAGTGAGGACACTGCCATCTTGTCTAAATTCTACCCATCCTTCAAGATTGAGCTCAAAGACCAGTCTTGCCACAGAGCCTTTAACAGAAGACTATATTATAGCTATCAGCTTTACCGTTGCCATGAAAAAATACAATCCTTTTATTATGTATTTATACTCATTAAAAATACTTATTGAGTACTTGCTATCTGTTAGGTATGACGTGGGTACGATGTATAGAAAAAAAGAATAAGAAGATTCCAGTCCTTGAAGATCTCACAATGTACCCTAAGTGTTTCGTATGTTATTTTGGAGGTAGTACAACTAGATTATAAATTCCTGATGAACAAATTCTGCTTATCATTCTCCTACAGCACCCAAGCCAGTGTCTCAAACAGTTCCACATAAATACTGAAGGGTTTAATGGTTAGCCCTAAAGTGATGATTGCAGAATAAACTAACCTGGATTACCACATCTGTCTACCTAAATACAATAATGAAATTTAATAAAATAGCTTTCTCTCATTTGTTTTACAGGAACTCTTAACGTCAAAACCAAAGCACACCAGAAGCCCATGCTGGTTTTTCTAGAACTCTGCTTCTGCCTTTTACATTAAGAATATCTCTTTTCATTTGCCTCTTTTAGAAATAAAACAAAAAGGAAAAACAAGGATGTATGCATCAAAAGTCCTCTCATTCAGGCATGATAGTAGATCATATTACTATGTTAAACCAATATCACAGAGATAAAAGATATCTGATGGCAGTAGTTTCTTTTTTTTTATTGTGAAAATAAAAAACAATAGACTACATCTCAGCCTAAGAACTATTCACATTTTGGGTCGGATGATTGTTGCAGAGGCCTGTCTCATGCACTGCAGGATGCTTAGTGATATCTCTGGTCTCTATCCACCAGATACTGGAATAAACATTCAAAAGTGTTTCTAGACACTGCCAGAGGTCCCCTGAGGGACAAAATTCTCTAGTTGAGAACCACAGCTGCACTTTATACATATGAATTAAATCATTACTTATTCTATGAGCATTTAACCTGCAAATATACTTACATTCGGAGATCCATAATTCTCAAAGTACTGTCTTTGGTATGGATTAACAAACGTTTTCCATTGGGATGAACCTCCAAGTAACTTATTGGAATCCCCTTACACTCACTCTCTTTAATTTCCTAAAATGATTTTAAAAAAGATTATAAAATATTATCACTGTAAAGTTTGTCTAAAGTTAAGCCCTTTTAAGTGTACAAATTTAATTTTAAGATGTCATTTTCAATTGCACAATACAGGATGTTTCAAAATCGTTAGCAAAATTATTCCAAGTAACTTCAGGTTAAGGATGAAAATAAAGCTGCTAAAGCGTATGTTTTGGTTGTTATGTAGCACCATATTTAATTAGTGTTTTTGTAGTATATTCCCAAACAAGAAGCACTTTCTACAGACACATCTTTTAACACTACACTGTTTATCATCAGATAAGAAACTTTCCAATTTTTATAAATTCAAAATTAAGTATAGAATTAGCTCTCAAGTTCTATTTCAGTCTCAGATTATTTCTTCATACATCTATTTCCACTTGTCCTGAAAAAGGTAAATTATCAGCATCTTATTCTGAAATAATTTAGTTTAGACTGTAATTTTTTTTTTTTTTTGGATACTTAAGGCAGCTAAATCTTCTACTTATAGAAGACTGTAAGTAGACCTGATTCATGATGTCAAGAAAGAAACAAACACTGAAGGAGAATCTGCCTGAACAAGCCATGTATAAGGACAATTTCCAAAGGTTCTTGTTTCGATTACCAGGAGAAAGATAAAAACTGCAAATGCAAAACTGTTTAAACTAAAGTCTAAAGAGTCAAGAGAGGGTCTGCTTTAACCTGTAGGCAGAATTCTGAATTAGCCGCCCTCTCCCTGGAGAACCCCTTATTATTCTTGCTCACTTCTCTTAGAGGGTCTCCTCTTCAGAGGTGGGTTGGCACCAGCTGAGGTGGGGTACAAACTGCTACAAATCCTAGTATCAGCAGCTGAACCCCTCCTACTGCTATTCGGTGCTAAAACCTGCTGTCAGCTTTTTACAGTTACAGAATAAAGTCAAATACTGATATCACAGATGGGGATTTTACTGAGCCCAACTACAACGATTTGGAGGTGGAGATGCACTGCTGAAGGTGTGAGCAATTGGAGCAACACTTACACAGACGCAAATGTGCAAAATCAAAACCAAGGCTGCATAACAAGTTAAGTGTTAGGTACAGGTTTGAGAAAGCTGCTGGTAGATTCAGTGTTTGTAGTATCTGTTAATGAGTTCCTTCATATTTTTATCATATTCATGCTCAAGCCCTAGTTCTAAAGACCACGCCCTATACCAAGGAGTGTGTGCAACAGCACATGGACACCTCATCTTAAGGGACAGATGTGTATAACCCAGCATCCTTCCCCCCACTGCTGGCTGAAGAGAACCAAGTAAGAAATCATAGTCTCCCATCTGTCCTAGGACATAAGCTACTAAAAAGACATCCCAGCTCATTTCCTAACTTTCTATTTTCGACTGTCTCAAGTAACCACCAGGAGGCAGATTTCCAAGGCATATTTGCCTTTTGGTTACTATACTGAGGTAAAGAAACACATGATTTTTTAATACAAATAATACACTCTGCATTGTAGACTCAAATGATTAGAAATGGTGCCTTTGGAGCCTTGCCAATCCTTTAGGTCTCAATATATAAGTAATTAGAAAGTTCTTTTCGAAGTGTGTGAAATTAGGCTACAACATGAATCCCAAGCCATCATTCATTAATCTGACAGACTGGATGAGAATGACTAAAAATAGAATAGACTGGTTTTTAAACAGATCTGACAGACTCAACAGATTTAACTCAAGTTCCTGGAAATTCTTTTTCATGTAGAATGCCTTTTTTTCAAACAGGGACAATTATAATCTATTATGAAGAAGAACAAAGCTGAAGAACACAGGTATAGCATGTAAGACAAAACTTATATCAACACATATAAAAACAACTCGGGTTCAATGATTCATTTTGTATTTTTAACTTAAACATACTAAATATGCACCAACAAAGTTGCTTGGTATACAAGCCATCTTTTTTTTTTTTTTTTTGCGTTACGCGGGCCTCTCACTGTTGTGGCCTCTCCCGTTGCGGAGCACAGGCTCCGGACGCGCAGGCTCAGCGGCCATGGCTCACGGGCCCAGCTGCTCCGCGGCATGTGGGATCTTCCCGGACCGGGGCACGAACCCATGTCGCCTGCATCGGCAGGCGGCCTCTCAATCACTGCGCCACCAGGGAAGCCCTACAAGCCATCTTTAAAACACTCTGCTTCAAAAATGAGATCATTCGTTTGTTTCTGCCAATTCCGTATGTTTCAAATGAAACAATTACTGTGATTAAATGATAGGCTCTCTCATACTTATATCATCTTGATCACATAGTTTTGAGGGATAGCACTGTTAACAAAACCTTGAGCACAGTGTTTTTAGTGATGTTATTAGACCAAGAAAAAAAAGAATATGAATAGCAGAAAATGTAAGTTATTATGTATCGATGGTGATATAACATATACCTCATTTTGCATAAATTTCAGTAATGGATCCCTGAATACCACAGGGCAAATTAGGGCTCAAAAAAAAAAAGAAACAAAAGCCTGGACAAAATGAAGAAAATTTCACTACATCACTATATTATCAATTAGCCATCAGGAAGACATGATAATTGACTTCTCAGGGACTGAGAAAAACTTAATTTCTTTGAAAAGAACGAACGGAATGTCCTGACATCTTTTTTTTTTTTTAAACATCTTTATTAGAGTATAATTGCTTTACAATGGTGTGTTAGTTTCTGCTTTATAACAAAGCGAATCTGTCCTGACATCTTAAAGTCATGTGGTTCAATTTTTTTCCCCCATTTCTTTAATTAAATCCCCAAATATGAAATGGCTCTATACCTTATTTACACTCCAGTGACGCACTGAGTGTTGCACATCATTAACTTTGACATACGTATTCCAAACAACAATCACCCCTGTGCAGTCTCCTGAATACATGTGATGACCTATTTAAAAAAATAAAATTACTTACGTATAAATGTCACAGAGAGGTTGAAACAAATATTATGAAATTGGGAAAACACATCCCAATAAAACAAAGAATTGAAGGGCTAGTAAAAGGCATTACAGTTTTAAAAAAGTCCAAAAGGCAAACGATCAGATCCCAACTATCTTTACATGAATTCTTCACCCTTCTGAATTATTTTTGATGATTTATTTCCCTTTGTCACCTACCTGAATTTGAATACAAAAAGAAATGAGCATCTCAGTTTATGTGTACGTGGCTCAAATTCCAAAGCTAAACAAATTATTTGAAATATCCAATATGATCTGTATTGCTCACCTTTATTAACCTATATAATCTATTTTATATTCCTGGAAAAACACCTACACTCTAATATATACTGTTAGCATAATGCCTGAGACCTGGTAGGAACTCAATAAATGACCAGGGAATGAATAAAATAATAAATAACAGGTGCTTCAGTTCAGCATCATTTCTTAGAGTCAAACCATCTTACAGTTGAATGGGACCTCAGAGATCATCAGATTCAACTTCATAACCTGTCATTAATATCTTACAAACCATTATGAACAGATGGTTGCTCAGCAACTGTGAATGTACATTTTACACAAAAGTAGCTTTTTCAACTGATGAAATGCTCTGTATATCAGAATGTTCTTTCTAATTCTGAGCAAAGAAAATCTGTTTCTTGCAGCTTTGGCCCTACTTCTACCTACAGAGCGACGTAGAAGGACTTCTCTTTTTTCCACATCTTAACCAAATATTTGAAGAAATTCTTCCTCTCTCTTTTATGAGCTACTTCTATTATGACAGAATTTTCAGGTGCCTTTCTATCCTTGGTTGACCTTTCCTGAATGTGTTCCTACTTATAAACATCCTTAAGGTTGAACTGAGTACATTAGCAGTATTAACATTTTGATCTGGATCCCATACTTATTTATTATAGCTGTACACACCTAGTATCTGAAATAATAGAAAAGGTGACTTTAATAATGAATTTCTTTATTATTCCAGCTGACAAAATAATCTATATTTTATGTCCTTTAAACACTATCCATAATACTCATATTCTAAGATTAAACCTTTAAATAAGTGCAAATCTCCCTTCTATATGTTTCTGTACTTTAAAAAAAAAATCCTGTTGCTACATTTAAAATATATATTTTCAATATTCTTCTGGGATTTCCACCCCCCATCTTCCTCATTTTTACCCTTTACATAAAATGGCCCTTTAAAAAACCTACTAAGGGAATAATCACCAATCCAATGAAATATATTTTGCAATTTGGAACAGGACTGGTTGTTACAGCAAAGATTAGTTGAATCAAAATGTTTAGAAATTTATTGACTTCAAAATTAACTAACAATTCCCTCAGTGCCAAATTTATGCCAAGGTCTTTCATATGATCTGCAAAATATTCATAAATCTAAATATGCACAAACATATTTAATTTTATCTGATACATAAAGTCACCCTCGAGCTTAAATAATTATTATCCTAGTGAACCAGAAAATTTTTCAAAATTCTTCATGTAACTGGCCTTCAACTGGCATATATTCTTGGACATACCTTCAATATCAAAACAGAGAGAGTTGATGAAACTCTTGTGAGCGTCAAACTGTCGGATTAATATGGCAGGTTCCTCTCTCATATCAACTTTCCATATACGTATCACAGAATCATAGCATCCTGTAACCACCAGCTCTTTTACAGCTGGGTGGAATTTAGCCGTGTAAACAAAAGAAGGATGAGGTAAAACTCTGAAAGTATTTGTATTGTTTATTTCATTTTTCCATATCCTGGAAAAGGATAAAAAAGTTACATATTGCTTCTGAAAGGCAGACATTTCTCTAAGAACCAATATGGGCAATGGACTTTATAAAAGTAAGCAAGTGACAACAACCAGGGGTAAACTTTATAACAGTAAAAATAATGTGATGACATTAGTTGATAGCCAGAGTTCCTTCAGTTTGACAAAGCTATTTCTTATAGTTATTTTCAAGCATAATGGTTATTCCTCTACTAATTGTAATCTATACTCTAAAATGAAAAACTGTACTTGTATATGTCTGTACTTTTTAAACCTACCTATTTTTGGCATTGAGTAAACACACTGGATAGTTGGTAAAATACTGCATTTAATACAATATAAGTAAAAAACAAAATAGACGGAGAAATTTCAATGATTTCCCATTTAGGCTGTGTATATTGTTTTTCCAAAGTGCTTACAGTTGAGGGTTTAGAGAACAGGGTACTCTATTAACTTTATATTTGTAATGTCGTTGCATAGATAATGAACATAAAGATCTCAAAGACTTAGAAGGCCCGTTGAAATTACTATATAAATACTTGAGTAAAATAACATTAAAATCATTACAATATTTTATAGAAAACAGGCTATCTAACATCGAGCACTCACTTTATGTTTAATACTCTTGTTATCTCTTCCTTTATATAATAGATGATTTAAAAGAAATTAATATTGTTATTGCTACAGTCTTGACAAGAGTAAATTCTAAGAGTTAAACTATCATGTTAGATACTCTGCAAGTCAATATGCAAAAATAGGCAAAATCTAGGAACAAACAGGTGCTTTGTGAGTGTGAAGCACTCGATTTTTAAAAATTTAAGTTATCAGAATTAGAAGAATTTATTAATTTTTTAATATGGGGATTTATAGTTCATCCTTTTAATTACTGTCTAAGAACTGAAGCAAATTAAGTCTTTTTCAAAATTATCTATAAAAAAAATACAGTTGCTGTTCAAGAATAACATTCTATAAGTTTTCTCAGCAGCTGCTTAAAATACAGGATATGATCTTTAATTACTAAGAATCCAAACTAATAAATGAAGGAAGTGAAAGAACATGTTTTCAAGTAAAAGTAAAGCATGTGTGTCACTGCATAAACATTTTTACCACAGTAATACTTTCAATGAACATATGTAACATGAAATATAATATTTATAGAAAGAACAAAATCACTAATTTGGACAGAATATTAAGGAGAATGCTAAAAGATAAAAACTTCAGTGGCCTGCTAATAAATCTTAGCGGCATTATCTGAAATACTATATAACAAGAAATGAAGCAACTATACCTTAAAAACAGCTCAATATAATTAGAACAGACACAATATCTTAAAATAAAAATGAAGCTTTTTACATAAAAGGGGAATTGGTATCAGTGATGGCTTTCATCACCCAAGCAATGGTAGAATCCAAGATCAAAAGAAATGTATTAATGGGTTTGTGAAAAAAAATCAGATTGACCATAGACTGAGAAGAACAGTGATACACAAATCTGTAAAGACCAGATGAACACACACAAAAATTATCAGAATTAGGAAAGAAAAAAAACATTCCAAAGTTAAAACAGTATGTGTGAAGAGAGGGCAGAGTGGGGCCTTATGGGTCTATTTGGGAGCCATTACACATGGACAAGTCTTTCTGATTATATTAGGAGCTGCTGATCTGTAGTGTTCTCAAATTATACTGAAGGTAACTAAAGACGGAGATTTAGGTTAAGCCCATCTGGCAGAGAGCTAAGCAATGGAAAACAGTTACTCAGGAGACACTAACAATAACAGGTGACGGTGCCCCCAGAGGATAACAGAAGACCTGGGCAGAAACCCGACCTCCTGCCACTTCTGAGCATTAGCAACTCTGGTTCTCTTCCTTTTGACTTTAGGTCATTCAGTGTAAGTATTCTTCACCTCTTTCAAAAACCCCACTGTCTTTTTCGTTCTAGCCACAGTGTTTCTCTCTTCACTCAGTTAATCCTTCACAACAGTATTCTTAGGATGTAAAGAGTCCTAAATTAGTATCAACTTCCAAGCTACATAAAGAAAAAAAAAATCCTTTATTACAATATATGCTGTGCAAGGAAACCCAAGTTGACTTCAAGAAATGGTAAAATCTGAGCTGGGTTTTTTTTTTTTTTTTTTTTTTTGGGGGACCGCGGGCCTCTCACTGCCGTGGCCTCTCCCATTGCGGAGCACAGGCTCCGGACGCTCAGGCTCAGCGGCCAT